GGGGGGAGGGGGGAAGCTCTACACACAGTCCCCCTGCCCTTCCACAGCAAGCTGTGCACTCCTACCAGCTCCAGCCCTGAGGAGGTTGGCCACTCAATCTACTGACCCAGCTGGTTCCAGTTACCCAAATGCAGGGTTCAAACCCATAGCCCTACATTTTGGAGGTTGATGAATTAGCCATTAGGTTACCAGAGGACCCGCTCCAAACTCAGACTTCTCAAGTCTTCCAATGTATTTTCAAATGTTCTCTGTGACAGACAGCATGATAAACACCTCTTCTTCTGTAATAGTAGCATAGAGATTATGATCATTATTTCCAAACCATCCAACTATATTTACCTCTTGGACTAGAGCCTTTGCTTCACTGAGGACCAAATCAAGAACTGTCTCTCCTCTTGTGGGTTCCAGAACCAGCTGCTGCAAGAAGACGTCATTTAAGGTGTCCAGAAAAAACTATCTCTGCCTTGGATCCTGAGGCAACGTGTACCCAACAAAGAGGGGAATAATTGAAATCCCCCATTATTTTTATTTTAGTAGCCTCCCTAATCTCCCTTAGCATTTCACAGTCACTATCACCATCCTGGCCAGGTGGTCGGTAATATATCCCTGCTGCTATATTCTTGTTATTAGTGCATGGAATTACTATCCATAGAGATTCTATGGAACAGTTCATTTCATTTCAGATTCGTAATTAATTTGATTTCACGTATAGTGCCACTCCCCCACCAGCACCATCTGCTCGGTCCTTCCCATATATTTTATACCTTGGTATGACTGTGTCCCATTGATTGTCTTCATTCCACCAAGTTTCCATGATGCCTTTTATATCAATAGCCTCTCTTAATATGAGGCACTCTAGTTCACCCATCTTAGTATTTAGACTTCTGGAGTTTGAATATAAGCACTTTAAAAAGTTGTCACTATTTAGGTGTCTGTCATTTCCTGATGTGATTGAATGAACCTGTTTTTCATTTCACAGTTTCTCCTCGGTGCTTGCCCTCATCTTCCATCCTCTCCTCTTGACTAGAACATGGAGAATATGTATTAATAGACCCTCAACTAAGAGATGTCTCTGTCAGATCCACGTGTTCCTCCACACCCATCGGCTTTTCCCTAGCTCTTAGTTTAAAACTACGACCGTTTTAATGTTAAGTGACAGCTGTCTGGTTCCATTTTGATTTAGGTGGAGCCCATCCTTCCTGTATAGGCTTCTCCTTTCCCAAAAGTTTCCCTAGTTCCTAATAAATCTAAACCCCTCCTCTCTACACCATCATCTCATCCACGCATGGAGACTCTGAAGTGCTGCCTGCCTACCTGGCTCTGCGCGTGGAACTGGAAGAATTTCAGAGAACTCTACATTAAAGGTCCTGGATTTCAGTCTCTTTCCTAGTAGCTTAAATTTGGCCGCCAGGACCTCTCTCCTACCCTTCCCTATGTCATTGGTACCGACATCTACCAGGACCACCAGCTCCTCCCCAGCACTACACATAAGTCTATCTAGATGTTTCAAGAGATCCACAACCTTTGCACCAGGCAGGCAAGTCACCACCAGGTTCTCCCGGTCATCGCAAATCCAGCTCTCTATGTTTCTAATGATTGAATCCCCCATTACTAACAGCTGCTTTTTCCTAATGACTGGAGTTCCCTCCTCCACAGACGTATCCTCAGTCCGAGAGGACACCATGAGATCACTTGGAAGGAGGGTCCCAACTATGGAATCACATCCCTCTGCTCCATTTGGATGTTCTCCATCCCTGAGCCTTTCACCCTCCTTAACAGCACAGGAGCTGCCTGACTGCGGGAGGAATTGTTCTACTGTATAGAACTTCTGTGTCTTGTCTACGTACCTCTCTGCCTCCCTTGGCTCCTCCAATTCAGCCACCCTGGCCGCCAAAGCCCGTACGTGGTCTTTGAGGGCCAGAAGCTCCTTCCACCAAATGCACACACATGCCCCACGCCCCCAGGGAAGGGAATCATACATGCTACACTGAGCGCAATAAACAGGATAGCCCTCACTCTGCTGCTGGGCTTCTGCCTGCATTTTTTTTCGGAGCTAATTCCTTTCTTGATTTTTTTTTTACATCAGGTGATTTTAATTTTAGCTTAAAAATACTAACTGTTAAGTGGATCTAATTCCATTCACTCTCTCCCTCTAAATTCTTGCAGAACCCTTTTTAGCTGCTCCTGTTTGCTAGCACAGATGTGATTAAAACAGAATTTAGTTGATAGGGATGGGGCCCACCCCTGAGCTCTCCATGGAGGTTTCCGTGGGACAGGATGGGGCCCTCTGAGCCCTGCTGGCTTTCACACTGCACAGCTGTATGGTCAGGCACATGGTCTGAGCCACTGAACCTGGCAGGAGTTGCAGATGCTCAGCACCCTTTGGGGTCACCCGGCATCACCCCGATGATGGAGACACTAGGGAAGGAAAAGGTCTTGGAGCTGCAGGCCAGGATCTCTGCTGGACCAGGATCTGCTTGGGATGGAGTGTGGGGGCAGTGAGGGGGCTGGTTGTGGCTCCCTGGTTCTCAGGCTGCCCAGGGGCTGTTCTATTTCACTCCAAGAGGCAGTGGTACCCGAGAACTGGGGATGTGCCCTGCTCTGCCCCGATACCCAGCCCCTCCCTCCCTAACGTGCCCCCTTCAGCAGGCACCAGGGGAGAAGTTGGCACAGACGCCAGTGATGCTGCTTTCCCCCAGCTGGGCTCCCCTGCACCAGGGGAATTCTCTGATCTCCCTGCCCGTCTGCACCATCCTGGCACACACCTCTGCCTTTATCGCTGAGACCCCATTCTGCCCCCCACCCAGACTCACATGAGTGACTCTCACAGCTGCAGTCCCACTGGTTTCTGCAGGGAGGGTTCGCAGGGTCAGGGGTCATAAAGCAGATGCTGTGACTTCAGGAACCCAATTCAGGTGTCCCTTCTTAGGCTAAATTCCCACTGAAGCCGGAGATTGGGGGCAGAGGGGGGGGGGGGGACAAAAAGGACCCAATCCGGGTGTCCTTACTCAGGCTAAATTCCCACTGAAGCCAGAGGGCGGGGTTCAAAACTGGACAGTTTTATTATTGAGACTCTCCCTATTAATTCATTTTTGTTCTTTTTTTCCTTTTTATTCCCCCCTCTCATTCCCATGGGCCCTCCGGCAGAGCTGGGTAAGTCCCGTTTCTGGTTTGTGTGGTTTGTTTTTCAGCGTGTGTCTTGCTGAGGCTGAATTTCATTTGTATAAATTCTTGTCTCTGATTATTACAGGACTCATGAGAGCCCGAGGATACGCAGGTAACTAACTCTGCTACTGCTGCAGTCCCTTTGTCTCTTTCCTTGGGGTTCCATCCCTGCTCAGTCCCCTTATAGTTGTCACACTAAGGGGTAGACAAAACATCATTGTCTATCTGAAACTTTGAGGCACTTGGTATTCACACACCATATTCCCCCTGAATACCTGCTGTGGAGGGGTGCACATGGGG